CCTTTAATGAAGATCTGGTGATGATTGATGGGATGGAAGGAGGGGAGTGTGTCGAAGTTTTTAATGTTTAGAAGGGGAATCCCCCTCCATTAGGACTTGAGGTAGCAAGTCCTTTTCCGGGGTTACTTCCCTTCTTCTTTTAATGCCACTAGGACCAGCTTTCAATCCTTCAGCCTTTATGTACTCCTTGAATTCATGCACATATTTTTCAGCTGCTTTTTGGTCTGAACTGGCAGCCTCACCATGCCTAATCACACTATGTATGCCACTACGATTCTTAAATCTTTCAAACCAACCTTTGCTGGCCTTAAATTCACTCACATCACCACTAGTTGCAGGCATTTTTCTAATTAAATCCTCAAGCAACTGCCTAGCCTTTTCACAAATGATCGCTTGAGAGATGCTATCTCCAGCTATCTGTTTTTCATTTATCCACACCAATAACAGTCTCTCAACATTTTCTAACACTTGCAATCGCTGTTTTGTAATCACAGTCGCACCTTTTGCAAGAACAGCTTCCTTGACTGCCGTTTTCCTGCTCACTATAGTAGGGATGGTTGAATGGGATTTACTATACAACTTGGCCAGGTCCGACACACGCACTCCACTTTCATACTTTGCAATTATCTCTTTCTTCATTTCAATAGTCATTAGCACCCTTGGTCTCGATGGGTTGGTACTAGAAGCTTTCTTGGGGCCCATGGTGACTTATTTTGCAGAAACAAGCACCAAAAACAGTGATAATATGGATAATATGGAATGTACCGAATGTATCCTTAGATGCGCACACAATGGCTGGCTTGTAAACACTGGCACACATGGGGCAGTTCAGGCCACACGTGGACACATCTCGTACAAATCGTATCACGTACCGGGTTTTGTAACGGGAACCGAGGCAAATTTTTTGCGATATAATGCTTCGGATACCGGATTTATCGGATACCGATGACTTCGCGAACCGGGGGTCCACTGTACTCATAAATTCTAGCAGCTTCAAATCAAGCAGGAGAAAGCTGGTAGGCCAACATGTGAGAGAATGCAGCACGCAGTGCATGAGAAAAAAAACTCCAACCGTCTTTTTTAATTAAAGTGCCGACTTTGTGGTCTATTTTCGTATAGTATTTATGGTTGTATTCTCGTTTTCTTGGTCTCATTTACCTGGAGTTTACCTGGAGAGAGTTTCGGGGGTCAACGCCCCCACGGCCCGGTCTGTGACCAGGCCTCCTGGTGGATCAGCGCCTGATCAACCAGGCTGTTGCTGCTGGCTGCACGCAAACCAACGTACGAGCCACAGCCCGGCTGATCAGGAACTGACTTTAGGTGCTTGTCCAGTGCCAGCTTGAAGACTGCCAGGGGTCTGTTGGTAATCCCCCTTATGTGTGCTGAGAGGCAGTTGAACAGTCTCAGGCCCCTGACACTTATTGTATGGTCTCTTACCGTGCTAGTGACACCCCTGCTTTTCATTGGGGGGATGGTGCATCGTCTGCCAAGTCTTTTGCTTTCGTAGTGGTGATTTTCGTGTGCAAGTTCGGTACTAGTCCCTCTAGGATTTTCCAGGTGTATATAATCATGTATCTCTCCCTCCTGCGTTCCAGGGAATACAGGTTTAGAAACCTCAAGCGCTCCCAGTAATTGAGGTGTTTTATCTCGTTATGCGCGCCGTGAAAGTTCTCTGTACATTTTCTAGGTCGGCAATTTCACCTGCCTTGAAAGGTGCTGTTAGAGTGCAGCAATATTCCAGCCTAGATAGAACAAGTGACCTGAAGAGTGTCATCATGGGCTTGGCCTCCCTAGTTTTGAAGGTTCTCATTATCCATCCTGTCATTTTTCTAGCAGATGCGATTGATACAATGTTATGGTCCTTGAAGGTGAGATCCTCCGACATAATCACTCCCAGGTCTTTGACGTTGGTGTTTCGCTCTATTTTGTGGCCAGAATTTGTTTTGTACTCTGATGAAGATTTAATTTCCTCATGTTTTACCATATCTGAGTAATTGAAATTTCTCATCGTTGAACTTCATATTGTTTTCTGCAGCCCACTGAAAGATTTGGTTGATGTCCGCTGGAGCCTTGCAGTGTCTGCAATGGAAGACACTGTCATGCAGATTCGGGGTGTCCATCCGCAAAGGAAGACACGGTGCTGTGGCTGACATCCTTGTCTATGTCGGATATGAGGATGAGGAACAAGATGGGAGCTAGTACTGTGCCTTGTGGAACAGAGCTTTTCACCGTAGCTGCCTCGGACTTTACTCTGTTGAGACTACTCTCTGTGTTCTGTTAGTGAGGAAATTATAGATCCATCGACCGACTTTTCCTGTTATTCCTTTAGCGCGTATTTTGTGCGCTATTACGCCATGGTCACACTTGTCAAAGGCTTTTGCAAAGTCTGTATATATTACATCTGCATTCTTTTTGTCTTCTAGTGCATTTAGGACCTTGTCGTAGTGATCCAGTAGTTGAGACAGACAGGAGCGACCTGTTCTAAACCCATGTTGCCCTGGGTTGTGTAACTGATGGGTTTCTAGATGGGTGGTGATCTTGCTTCTTAGGACCCTTTCAAAGATTTTTATGATATGGGATGTTAGTGCTATTGGTCTGTAGTTCTTTGCTGTTGCTGATAGAATGGAAAACATATTATAGAAATAGAGGTGATTTTGATTGGGTTTACTATGAAAAGAACCTTGTGAAATGGAGCTCAAAGTAGGGGAAATGTTTGATTTTTGATGATGTTCAAAAGTAAACAAATGATGTCATTTTCCAATAAATGTCCAAGAAGCCATTCTAATATGCAGTCATGAATGGGTTGACATTATTCATACAATTATTACAATATTGCAGTAGTCTGCATAACAGTAAATCTTCTATTTTTTGTTTGAATAAAAATTCAAAATAGAAAGCAAGAGTAATATCAGAGGGACCTGGAGATGTAACTGATGAACAAAGAAAATGTTATTTTAGAGCCAGGAATGTCTGCACTGTTCATTCTGGACCCTATTTTGAAACTGTCATATTTTTTAATTTTCGTGAAATTAGCCAAATTGCAAATTTCTGACCACGTTATTGGGTAGTTGAAATCGGTAAATGGGCAGTTTCTTGTACTCAATCGATAGAAAAAATGGAGTTCTAAAGAAATAGCTATGAGTTTGGTCGACTGAAACAATGGAATTAGCCAAAAATAGGGCTCAAAGTGGGCGAAATAGCCGATTTGTAAATATCGCCGAGGTCGCTAACTTCGCTCGAGTGCAATTCTGTCAGTTTTCCATCAAATATCATTCTTTTGGTGTCATTACAATCGGGAAAAGATTCTCTATCATTTCATAAGAAAAAATTTTTTTTTTTTTTTTTGGAAATTTTGCGACACCAGGAGACACCTCAGGATTTGGGGTTACGGCAGTCAAGGGGTTAATATATGATGGTGTAAACATGTTATCAGGTTTTTATATGCAATTGGAAGAGAAAAAAAAAAGTGGGAGGGGGCTATGTTTCATTTTACAGCACTTTTCACTTTACAGCAGTAGCCTGGAACCTAACCTGCTGTATAAATGGTGTCCTCCTGCACTCAAAACCGTGAATAGTTGCGAAACGTATATACGAGTCGTTTTTTGTTTACACACATACCTATGATAAAGTTTAATTGATAAATTATACATAATAAGTCAAGAATTATCACTTTTTCACTGATGAGAAGCACTTCACAACTTCTCTTAGGCCTTGAAGAACTGGCACTATTAATACTCTTGCACTTTGGAGCCATTATTAAGCAAAATTAAAGGTTATTTTCAAGCCACGGTAAAACAAAACCACTGAAACTGAATCCGTGGATACAGGGTTTCTACCGTATTTGTATGATATAGTAGTGTACACACATCTAACAATTTTTTTTACACACTGGTCGTCTCCCACTGAGGCAGGGTGACCCGAAAAAAGAAGCATTTTCACCATCATTCACACTATCATTGCCTTGCCAGATACAACAGTTCACATGTTCCTCCAAACAGCAAATATCTTTACCCCTCCCTCAGACCACAGGCACTGTACTTCCCACCTCCAGGACTCAAGTCCACCTAACCAGTCTCTCTGAATCCCTTCATAAATGTTACCTTGCTCACACCCCAACAGTATTATATACCATTAAGTTAGTGACACTGCATAATTAAGGTTAAAGTTTTGGTTGATAGTTGAAAATTAATGAGCAGTTAAACAATGACTATTTCGTGAACTTTGATTTTAATTCATTTAATACATAACAATTGTTTTAACTTGTATAGAAAATTATTCTACATTTGAGGATTTTTTCCATTTCCAACTGAGTTTCTACTCGGTTCAGTCAAACATGAGGATTCGAGAAACTTGTTTCTAGGGGTTTTGGGTTTTAGGTTAGATTTTTTCAGAAAACAGGACAAGGTTTCTGACACAGTCTTTAGTCAATAAGACCTACAGCTGACTTTTGGTCATCTGACTGAGCCTTCCTGTGGTTTTACACTCCATAAGGTTAAAATATAACCCCCAAAAGTGCGTGTGTAAAATGAAAGCTGAAGTTTTACCGATGGTAGAATGTGGTGTCTTTTTTCTGTCTAATAAACAAATTTCAGGTACGTCTTGCTACTTCTACTTACACTTAGGTCACACTACACATACATGTACAAGCATAATATACACACCCCTCTGGGTTTTCTTTTATTTTCTTTCTAGTTCTTATTCTTGTTTATTTCTTCTTACCTCCATGGGGAAGTGGAACAGAATTCTTCCTCTATAAGCCATGCGTGTTGTAAGAGGCGACTAAAATGCCGGGAGCAAGGGGCTAGTAGCCCCTTCTCCTGTATAAATTACTAAATTTGAAAAGAGAAACTTTCGTTTTCTTTTTGGGAAAAAAAAAAGTCTAGTATGGTGCATATGCATTCTGGAACAGTTTTCCAGGAAGAGTTGAAGACCGACATCAACATTACAATTCAGTGGTAGATCAGAGGTTGTGAACACTGTCAGTTGTAGTAGTGACTTACCGTTAGCATTTCATGGTGGATGTCAAAGTGAGCATACGAGTTGAAGTATCCTTCATCTTCTTCGGGCCTCATATCTCCTACCGTTTTGATTATGCCGTTGTCATTCTGCAGATTTGCACAAAGTAAGAAATAAATCATATTATTATTATTATTATTATTATTATTATTATTATTATTATTATTATTATTATTATTATTAATAATTACTATTTTTTTTAACACGTCGGCCATTTCCCACCAAGGCAGGGTGACCCAAAAAGAAGGAAAAAACTTTCATCATTATTCAACACTCTCCCCATCACTCATACATAATCACTCCCCACACCTTCACTTCCCTCAATCATTAAGGAGTGTATCTTTCTCATTAGCATGAATTCTTGTGGCAAATAATAATAAAATTCTTATATCTCTAAGCATGGTATCCAACTTAATGCCTAATAAGGCACAGGTTACCATGCTTTTACATACAAGAAGTTTACAACAACTTGTAAACAAGTTACTTGTCTGATGTTTCGCTTAATGCATGAGTTGTTTGCATAGAAAACAAGAGTAGTAGCATAAATCAGCAACTGTAAAAAAGTACCGCATTTTCCGGCACATAAGATGAGCCTTTTTTTCTGACAAAAAGTCTTGAAAAATCAGCCTGCACCTTATATACTCAAGGTCAGGGTCAGCGGTAGGATTTGTGTTACGCTTCAGCGTGAAGTAAGAGGGTAAATAACCCTTGAATATGGTAACTGATTTACCGTTATGATACTTTTGTCGTACATCTATGCCAGAAAATACGGTAATTATTTTTTAAGTGCTCTGGGTCAGCTGGTGTAGTGGTTAACACACTGGCCTGGGTGTTGTAACACTCCCCTGCCATGAGTTCAAACCCCACCCACTCTGCGATTTGATATGCTCTGTAAGTGCAGATGTGTGTAGCTTGAGGCACTTGTAAGTCAGGGGCCAACTGGATTTATTCACATTGAGACCTGTGTAATGTATGTACCCATAACAAGCCTTAACAGCTGCTTCAAAATGAGGTGGCTGCAAGATGCCTGACCTTACTGACAGCCTGAACAGCCTGCAACATCCTCTGCATGACTTCACGTTGCTTGACAATGATTTCTCTCAGTTCATCGTAGGTGGCTTCATTGTACAAAGTACGTTGGTCATGATCTGGTTGCTCTTCTATCTTGGTCAGTTCTTCCACATCTGAAAAAAATCAGTCTCCAGTGATACCTGGAGTATATCTGAATGTGTATTCTTTTCACACAAAATTTGCTATGGGTAATATTTTTGTACTACATATATTTGTAAAGTACCAAAAGTCACTATATACTGTGAATAGAACAATACACCAATAAACTGCACATAGGAGAGAGGAGCCTTATGACAATGTTTCGGTCTGACTTGGACCATTTACAAGTCACAATTGTAAATACGTGTAATCCAAATTGGACCGAAATGTTGTCATAAGCTTCTCTATCCTATGTGCGGGTAATTTGTGTATTGTGCTACTTGTACTGGGGGGGTTGGGGTTATGGAATATGAAGGATACCTTTCCCAGACTGTGCAATGACCAAAACAAGTCCAGTTTTATACAGCATTTATGGACAACCAGGCTGTGATGGATATGTGGAGCAGTGGGCCTCCAGCAAGCACCAGACAAGCCTGGCCCATGGCCAGGCTCTGAGAGTAGTGAAACTCTTGAAACTCTTCAAAGGTTTATCAAAGGTATATAATACATAATAACATACGAGTGGTTTTCCAGCATAATATACAGCTTTAAACACATACTCTATATGTATATAATAAGTGATTAAAAACTAAAAAACCATCACTTCAGGAAGCCATCAGCATCATCCAGACCAGATGTGTAAAAATAATATGAGGATATCCTTGTAGTCTACTAAAATCCCTGTATGTATGTATGTATGCATGCATTCATGTATGCACATATGCAAGCACTCATGCATGTTCATATGCAAGCACTCATGCATGCTCATATGTAAGCACTCATGCATGCTCATATGCAAGCACACATGCATGCTTGTATGCAAGCACGCATGCATGCTCGTATGCAAGCACACATGCATGCTTGTATGCAGGCACACATGCATGCTTGTATGCAGGCACACATGCATGCTTGTATGCAGGCACACATGCATGCTCGTATGCAGGCACACATGCATGCTTGTATGCAAGCACGCATGCATTGCTTGTATGCTGCACAAAATGCATGCTTGTAAGCAGGCCCCACATGCATGCTTGTATGCAGGCACCATGCAAAGCTTGTATGCAGGCACACATGCATGCTTGTATGCAGGCACACATGCATGCTTGTATGCAGGCACACATGCATGCTTGTATGCAGGCACACATGCATGCTTGTATGCAGGCACACATGCATGCTTGTATGCAGGGACAATGCATGCTCGTATGCAAGCACCATCATGCTTGTATGCAACATGCATGCATGCTTGTATGCCCAAACACACATGCATGCTTGTATGCAGGCACACATGCATGCTTGTATGCAGCACACATGATGCTTGGTATGCAGGCACACATGCATGCTTGTATGCAGGGACACATGCATGCTTGTATGCAAGCACGCATGCAAAGCTCGTATGCAAGCACACATGCATGCTTGTATGCAAGCACGCATGCATGCTCATATGCAAGCACACATGCATGCTCATATGCAGGCTCGCATGCATGTTCATATGCAGGCACACATGCATGCTTGTATGCAGGCACACATGCATGCTTGTAAAGCAGGCACACATGCATGCTTGTATGCAGGCACACATGCATGCTTGTATGCAGGCACACATGCATGCTTGTATGCAGGCACACATGCATGCTCGTATGCAAGCACACATGCATGCTTGTATGCAAGCATGCATGCATGCTTGTATGCAAGCACAAAATGCATGCTTGTATGCAGGCACACATGCATGCTTGTATGCAGGCACACATTGCATGCCCTTTTATGCAGGCACACATGCATGCTTGTAAAGCAGGCACACATGCATGCTTGTATGCAGGCACACAAGCATGCTCGTATGCAAGCACACAGCATGCTTTGTATGCAACAGCACGCATGCATGCTCATATGCAAAACACACATGCATGCTCATATGCAGGCTCGCATGCATGTTCATATGCAGGCACACATGCATGCTTGTATGCAGGCACACATGCCCTGCTTGAATGCAGGGACACATGCATGCTGTATGCAGGCAACATGCATGCTTGTATGCAGGGACCATGCATGCTTGTATGCAGGCACACATGCATGCTTTTATGCAGGCACACCATGCATGCTTGTATGCAAGGGACACATGCATGCTTGTATGCAGGCACACATGCATGCTTGTATGCAGGCCACATGCATGCTTTATGCAGGCACACATGCATCTTGTATTAACACTCAATGCATGTTGTATGCAGGCACACATGCATGCTTGTATGCAGGCACACATGCATGCTTGTATGCAGGCACACATGCATGCTTGTATGCAGGCACACAAAGCATGCTTGTATGCAGGCACACATGCATGCTCGATGCAGGCACACATGCATGCTTTTATGCAGGGCCACACATGCATGCTTGTATGCAGGCACACATGCATGCTTGTATGCAGGCACACATGCATGCTTGTATGCAGGCACACATGCATGCTTGTATGCAGGCACACATGCATGCTTGTATGCAGGCACACATGCATGCTTGTATGCAGGCACACATTGCATGCTTGTATGCAAGCACACATGCATGCTTGTATGCAGGCACACATCATGCTTCATATGCAAGCACACATGCATGCTTGTATGTATGTACACATATGTTTGGGCCGTTTCTAATTTTGGATTGACTCTGCTTTAATACTCTGCCCCAGCATAATTTGCAGGACATTATTACTGTATGATATAAAAGAAATACCATTACTGTAGTGATGGAACTTTTTAAGTAACATAAAAAATTTCTAAAATATCTTGTCTTAGTAACAAAATACAAAATACTTCATACTAAATTTCAGTTGTTATTACAGTACAATATACTGTACTACAGTACAATATTTCGACTACAGTACAATATCTGTACTACAGTACAATATACTGTACACATCAATTACTGTCTACATTACAATATACTGTACTACAGTACAATATACTGTACTACAGTACAATATACTGTACTACATTACAATATACTGTACTACAGTACAATATACTGTACTACAGTACAATATACTGTACTACAGTACAATATACTGTACTACAGTACAATATACTGTACTACAGTACAATATACTGTACTACAGTACTACAGGGGCCAAATCTAGCATAAAAGACAAAAAATTGAGCTCTGTATCTAACCGCACAAAAAAATATATTTTTTTTATAATGTACACTAAGAGGTTCACTTTTGTCCATCATATTTCAAGCTTAAACCTATAGAAATACAAACACTGTATATTTTGGGCATTAAAACTCACCAAACATTAACGGGCATCACATTTATTACAGGTTTCACATTCACTGCCTCCATTTACATTTCCTGGGAAAAAAAAAATTTTTCAGGGGGACGGACTTTTCTCCCTTAGTATTAACCGCTTAATATAACCAATTTGACCCAGATTAAACCTGCACACAAATAACACAGTCAAACCCAGAGCCTCATTGAGCAAATCGGCTGAACTGAGGAAATACATTTACGAAAATAGGCATATTGTTTTTCCACTTTTTTGTTCCTCCATTTTTTCCCAGTCTTCCCCTTTCAAAATCTGAAGTTCATCCTCGCTTCTATTCGTTCGGGCGCGGGTGTCGATGTGCGATTTCCTTTCTTGCAGCCCGCCGCGGCGGCCCTTCCCCACCTCGTCCTCTAAGAGGCTATCTCAAGCCGACATTGCATGGATTTATTTGGGTGCCAAAAAACAAAGAATAAGTTAATTGATACGGGGAAATTTTTCAGGAGTCTTTCGAAAACAACAATGAAAAAAAAAATAGTATGACTTTACCAATTCATTAAAATAGGGAACAAACCAGGGGACGATGAGGGTTTTAACCCTTTGATGTTCGGCCGTACTAGTATACATTTTACAAGCCAGTGTTTCGGACGTATATGTATACTCAATAATTTAGGGGCCAAATCAACAGGAGAAAGTGGTAGGCCCACATGTGAAAGAAGGGGTCTTGGGGTCATGTGTCTGTTAAAAAAAAAATCCTGCAGCAAGCAGTGCATAATGAGAGGAAAAAAACTTCGACCATGTTTTTGGATTAAAACACCGACTTTGGGGTGTATTTTCCTATAGTATTGATAGTTGAATTCTCGTTTTCTTGGTCGCATTTGATAGAATGGAAAACATATTACAGAAATAGAGATGATTTTGATTAGTTTGACGATGAAAAAGACCTTGAAATTGAGCTCAAAGTAGCGGAAATGGTCGATTTTTACCAATCTTCAAGAGGAAGCAAATCACACCACACGTCCAATACATGTCAACTGGGGAGTCTAATATTCTTTCACTAGTGCACTGATATTATTTATACCTTTTTTACAATAATGCAGTAGTCTGCATAATAGTAAATTTTTTATTTTTTGTGTGAAAAAAAAATCAAAATAGAAAGCAAGAGTAATATAAGAGGGGCCTGGAGACATGACTAATGAACAGAGGATATGTTACTTTAGTGCCAAGAATGTCTGCATTGTTTATTCTGGACCCTATTTTGAAATTGGTATCTTTTTTAATTTGCGTAAAATTGGCCAAATTGCTGATTTCTGACCACTTTATTGGGTAGTTGAAATTGGTAAATGGGCAGTTTCTTAAGAACATAAGAAAGAAGGAACACTGCAGCAGGCCTACTGGCCCATGTGAGGCAGGTCCAAGTCACCTACCAGCTTAAGCCAATGCCTCAACCTAGTCAGGTCAGGTCAGGTCACATTCACTTAAGGAACACAGCAACTGACCTAGTATTATTATTATTATTATTATAATAAAAAAGATACGCTAAACCACAAGGGCTATACAGCACTGCAGGGCAGGAAGGAAGCGAGGGTATCAGGTGGCAAAAGGGAGAGGGATGAGTAGTAGGTTATGGAGAACAGCGGGGCAGTGGATAGCGAAAGGGTAGAGGGTAGCAAAAGATTGAGGTAGAAAGAGCTAAGGGGAGTGCGAAAGGTATCATCATCAGAGTTTGTGGAG